TTTAGAAAAGTTAGAGTTCACGCTAGGGCTTGGAGAAAAGAGAAAGGAGGAGAAAAGAAAAGAGAAATCAAGAATCGCCAAAAAACGTTCGAGCTTTGCGTGTGGATTTAGTATTCAGTTCAGTTAAGTGCTATTGATCTTTATTAATATGCATATTGTCTTCTGCTAAGTTAAGTAAGTTAGGCCAACGGTTCGCTTAGGGATAACAATGGTCTTCGAGTGCCAGTCCCGCCCAAGGTGTAGGCTCGGGGCGTGACTAGATTGACCAAGTCAGACAATTTTATTCCGGTAAGAATAGACTATAATGCTAAACAATTGGCTAAGATTTATGTGAAAGAGATAGTGAGGCTGCATGGTGTGACCTGTTCTATCATCTCAGATCGTGGTACCCTATTCACCTCCAAATTTTGGAGAAAATTGCATGATGAATTGGGCACACAACTCACTTTTAGTACAGCTTTTCATCCACAAACGTATGGACAATCTGAGAGGACTATTCAAGTGTTGGAAGACATGTTGAGAGCATATGTGATTGATTTTGGAGGGCATTGGGATAAATTCTTACCTTTGTGTGAGTTCTCCTATATTAATAGTTATCACTCTAGCATTGATATGGCACCATTTGAGGCATTATATGGGAGGGGATGTAGATCACCCATAGGTTGGTTTGAGGCTGGAGATGTGAAACCTTTGGGGGTGAATTTAGTGAATGATGCTCAAGAAAAGGTGAGGAGTATTAAAGCTAAACTTCTAACAGCCCCGAGTAGACTGAAGAAGTATGCAGATCATAAGGTAAGAGACATGGAATTTTAGACTGGTGAAAACGTTCTCCTTAAGGTATCACCCATGAAAGGGGTGATGAGATTTGGTAAGAAGGGTAAGTTAAGTCTGTGGTATATTGGTCCCTTTGAGGTTCTTGAATGTGTAAGGCCGGTGGCATATAGATTGGCTCTTTCCCCTAATATATCTGGTGTTCATCCGGCATTTCATGTGTCTATGTTGAATAGATATCATGGTGACGGGGATTATATCATTAAGTGGGACTCAATCGTGCTAGATAAAGACCTCCAATATGAGGAGGAATGGATTGTTATTCTTGATCGTGATGTGTGTAAGTTGAGAACCAAGGAGATTAAGTCCGTGAAAGTTCAATGGAAGCATCGTCAAGTTGAGGAAGCTAGTTGGGGAAACGAGAAGGATATGCAAGACAAATATCCTCAATTGTTCGCTGATTCAGGTACTACTTCGCTCTTCCCGTACCCTACTTTTCCTAAGTTTTGTCACTCGAGGACGAGTGATGGGTAAATTGGTATCTACTCTAACGATCTGTTCTCATCGTTATAGAAATGCCAACGGAGGGAAATTGGGGCCGGAAAAACATTTTTGTAGTATTTGGATTTTTCCAACCTTATCCAGATTTGGAGGAAATCAGAGTCACCAAGGTGTCGGGAATTCTGGTAGCAATCAGGTGGATCATTTATGACTTTGATTGCATGGATAGTTAGATAACTCGTTAAGGAATTCGTAAGACTTTACAGAATTGAATTTGGGTAAGTAGAGGAGTGTTGTGAGTTAGGTCTTTAGAATTCCTTTAATTAGCTCTCTGGTTCAGTTTGTTCCGCCTTGGCGGGAGTGTGGCCGCTCTAGCGGGGCCGCTACAGCGGGATATGGGGTGTTGTGGAGGGTACGATGAGACTTAAAATCGTAGGTAGAAGACGAATAGTCACTGGTTCAAAAATGTCGCATTGGCGGGCACGTGGGTCACTCTAGCGCCGCTGCTACAGAAGGGTGAGGGCCGCTGTGACGGGCCAGACGCGACTTAATATCGTTAATAAACCCTTAAACAACCTTATTTGGCACTTTTTGACTTTTAAAGCGAAGGAATGACCCCCAGACGATTTCTACTCGTTTTTCACCATTCTTGAGGCTAAAGGTAAGCTTTTCACTCCCCGAATCTGTTATTCGATCCGTAGAATGTAATAGAATGGGTCAATATTGATGGGGGAGGATTTTGATGTATATTCTATGGTGAAAACAACCCTAAATTGGTTAATTGGGATCATGGGATTGATCTAGGATTCATAGAATTGTTATAGTTTTGGGAAATTAGCGATTGTTTGTTGATTCCCGCGTTATTATGATTGTTTGTGGACCAAGAACAAGCGAAGCGAATTCGAAAAGGGAAGGATCAAGTTTCTTAGGGTTTTGAGCTTGTTTCGAGGTAGGTGATGGCTGTGATTCTATGTTTGTGTGATGTATAATTGTTCTTGCTTCATTATGATGCTTGTATATGTATGAATGTTGCAATGATGATCATGCTTGTTGTAAATGAGATAGATTAATTATCATTGTCATGAAATCATGACTTAATTATATGATCTTGATGATGTACTTGTGATTGTGATTGTGGTGTGTGAATGAGATCGGTTGCCACGTTCTGGCATAACTATTGGATCGGATTGCCATGTTCCGGCATAATTATGGGATTAGTTGCCACGTTCCAGAATAAATATGGGATCGGATTGCCACGTTCCGGCAAGCTAACTATTTGGGTTTGGGTTCCTTAAGAGGACCATTGAATTAGGTTCCATGAGAGGACTAATAAGGTGATGTAATATGTGAAATGCGTTGTTGATTCTTCATGCTGATAATGTTGTAAATGTTGATATATATGTTTGTGATTATAATGCTGTTTGACTTGTTCATGTTGCACTAGTAGGATAGCTGTGTGATCCTACTAGTACATTGTGGTTGTGTACTGCTTCTGCACTTGCTCTTATTTTTGTTGAGTACAGAGCATCTTCACGCGACTATTGACAGACCTCGCTTAGAAGATCAGTGATCGTCACATCGAATTCAAGGGTGAGCCAATTCGTCCGGGCTGCCATGGAATTATGTTTCGTCTATGTCCATCATTTCCGGACTTAGACAATTGTTTTAGTTAGTTGATTAGTTCATTAGTATCTTCTTGTTTAGACTTGGATCATTGGTAGATGTTTTTGTACATTGACTTTTAGGTTCTAGGTTTATCTTCCGCATTGTTAGTATTAGATCTTTTGTTGAAATTATGAGAACTTTCGTTTAGTATTTATTTTTGTTTTCCTATGTTAAATTCCTTAGTTTTTGGATTACTTGCTTGGTTTGGGTTGTAGTAGTGGTTCTCCCACCGGAGTGTTAGTGTGGGTGCCAATCACAACGGTGTGGGTCGTGACAACCACATTTCATGAGGATAGAAGTCACTGATCGTAAATGACCATACCTTTACACTCAGCCCCGTTACAAGCCTTGAAAAGACCTTTTTGATCTTGAGTGAGCTGAAACAATTGTTGGTTGGAAAATAAGGGCAAACCTATGAGTAAAATTATGCATCGTGTTTATCTTTTTTAGTGTGAGTGTCGATAGTGATTCCAGAACTATAAATTGTTGAATCATTGTGTGTGAATATGGGATCACTTTTTGTGTGAAGGCATTTGAGTACCTTTGTTGAACTTGAACTTGCATTTGAAGCAAGTAAAGTGAGCTTGAGAATCTTTGGTAATGGTGAGTCACAACTTGAATCTTTGAGTGTACAATTGATCCTTGCATGAATACGTTGAGTCTTGTGTAGCACTGTTAGATTATGAGTTAAAGCATTTCATGTTCGAGGAATATATAAAATGTTGATGATTGAGCCTTCCTCTATATTTCTCAACAAAGTCTTTTTCTATTGACATTCTTTTTTGCTGTTCTTATTTATTTTTTAACTACTCAATTTTCTTTAGTTTGAATTTTAATATTCATTAGAATTTGAGTATTAAACGTTTTCTTTGTCAAATTTTCTCTGTTAAATAGTTTATCATATTTGATATTAAGAAATTATAGAAATGAAAATTTTATATTTTTTAATCTTTCGATGAATACAATATCAAATTATTGATTTCTTGATAGTCAAACATTGTTCATTCTTTTAGTCACAAAATTTGATATTTTCTTCAAATTAATAAAGAAAATACTGATACGTCATTTTAAAGACTATTTTAATAATCAAGATACGAATTTAGTGGTCATATTATGTAACATAATATTAAAAATATGTTTACGCAATAGTCCTTTACAGTATTTCTGGGAACAAAATATTAACTATTCAAACACATTTTATTTTAATTAGTTCAAAATTTTCTTTCAAAAATATGTCAAAACAAGCTAAGCATTTATTATTGTAAGTAAGAAGTTAAATAGTAGAAACTCTTCATTTTAACAAAATTACAATAATATCCTTATGGGCCCATAACAAAAGTTAAGACATGTATGGATTCTTCTAGATTTTCATTTTGAACATTAATTATTACAATTATTATTTTGCCGTGAAATGATGTTAAAATTACCAAAATGTCATTGGTCGTCATTCTCATGGCTCTTCTATATATAGAAACTCTTCATTTTAACAAAATTACAATAACATCCTTATGGGCCCATAACAAAAGTTAAGACATGTATGGATTCTTCTAGATTTTCATTTTGAACATTAATTATACAATTATTATTTTGCCGTGAAATGATGTTAAAATTACTAAAATGTCATTGGTCGTCCTTCTCATGGCTCTTCTATATATATATAATTTTCTAGCTCAATTATTTTATGTTCGTTTTACAAGAGATCTTCATTTGTGAAAAAATGAAGATCTCTTATTGAACAATGATAATTTACTACTCTATATAATTTAATTTAAAATTAACTCAAATGGGATTTCTTAAAGAGAGAACTATTTGAGAAAACGGAATAACAACTTACTACAAGGACTAGATTCCTGAATTGAAGAACAATAGAAAATAATTATACTAAAAAAATCCATTTTTCTATGATGTAAATGGTTAATCATAGAAAACTATAAAACTATAATTCTTGACTTCCCACACTAAAAACCTAAAATAGAAGCATGACTAGAAGACCACATATGTCGACATATAGATTTGCTGGAGAGAGGAGACACCTCAATTTCTCTAGTTATTTTCCGCCTATATTAGGTGGAAGTAGTAACTCCTTGTAGTTGGTCAAAACCCATGAAAATATCTTCATTCATGTCCACCTTTTCTTTACCATTACCTTTGTTCTGCACGATCTCAACAACCATTTTGTTTTTGCTCCCGATTTCAAGTGGAGGATTAGTTGCGATAATTGGAGAAGCAACAACTCTTGAATCCTTAACACGCTTGGACGAGGATGTTGATGCATTCAAGATTGATGCTTTGGGCAAAATATTTATGCCTTTTGGAAGCTTAAATTTGGAATTACCGTTGCAACTAGCAAGATATCTACGGTTCATGGGGGGATCATGATTGTGTTCACCCGAACAGGATACCAAGAAAATGTTCTCATCCTTTGGGCTTTTCTCAATTTGTTTCTTTGCTTCGCAGTGTTTTGATGTACTACACTTATAGTAATTCCTGTTATGGAATATACACAAAATAATAATCAGGTTTAGTGAAATATTATGTGTATACACCATTAATAATTTTTACTACTTTTTGTTATGATAATTGAGAACGGAAGGGAACATAACTTTTTATGACATGTAAAAAAAGGTAAAAAAGCAGACCTCGGAAATGGGGAACCTTTGATATGCTTCTGACCATACTTGCGCCATGTCCATATGTCATTTTTGAGTTCCTCTTGCAACAATTCATAGGTAAGCCTTATCGACTGATTGTTCCTGATTTCAAATCAGAAGTACTAAAGTCAAAATTTAGAACATACACACATAAAATGTAATGAAATGAGTGGTTACCTTGTTCTAGTTTGGGTCAAAGGAGTCATCATGGAAAAATTGAAATTAGGATAAATGTTAGCCCCTATATCGAGTTGTTGTAGATTAATCCATTCATGTGGTGTTGTAGTTGTTGGTGCCACACACGCTACCGATGTTCGTGATTGAGGAACAATGATTTGTTGGATAAATTGAACTGGTTGAATGGAATGCAAGTACAATTGCTGGTTAATATTTTGGTTCATGATAATAACCTGATCATATGAATTTTCCCGACGAGCAATTGGAAAATCTAAAGAAAAAATTTCAGATAAACCATTAAAACTAGTCATGTCAGGAGCTAAATATTTGTCAGAAGAATTCCAAACATCATTTGGAGATACCTTCAAATCTAAATTAGGAGTTACAACATTGTTAGGTCTACTAATATTACAACTTCTTACTATACCACCTATATCCCGATCATCATCCCCCATTTTAGATCTATATATAATGATATCTAGTTAAATGAAAAAAAAAAAAATGAGCTTATAAGAGAAACTGATGATGTTTTCTTCAAAAGCAGAGATGGAAAAAAGAATCCAAAGAGGGGGCTGACTTATGGAGGAAGTCGATTAGCAAAAAGAACGTTTTAATGCGTAAGAAATTATAAATCAAAGGCTGGGATGAAGAAAAGTGAACCAATTTCGCAAATTATATAGAGAAACTTAAAAGGGTCTCTACCTACCAGGCATATCCACATTTACTTTGCAGTTAATGCACAATAAATATATTTTTCTATTTTAGAGTGAATGAGATTAGCGACAAAGGAGAAGTCAAAGATAATTTTATGTACCTTTTTGTTTGAGATCATACATATCATATCATACACACGAAACTAAGCAAAGTCTATGTCATGACCCAAAATCGGACAGTGATGACGCTTGCCATAACCCCTCAGTAGGCAAACCAAAAAACCAAATTTTACGAAAGATAAGAATATAACGATAAATAACAAGCGGAAACAAGAATAAAGATACAAAATAGGGCCATAGAATAGAAAAATAAATATGATACACAATATACAAAAAATGCCTTAAAACGACTAAGAACGACAAAGAAACATACGAATCAAATCTCCGGACCTGGTGTCACCGGTACAAGAAGAACTAAGTATAGAAATGTTATATGTAAAAGAGAACTAACTAATCAAAATGCAAAATACAAGCCAGTAAAAAATGGAGAAAGCAACAAGTTTCTAGACTCTAGGAGCTCACCATGATCCGAGTCTGTGACAATCACGAGAGATTCAATGCTAAGTGAGAGTGGCACGTACCGGAAGTTCCGCCAGAAAAAGATGCAGAAATGTAGTATGAGTACTAAATTACGGGGTACTTGATTAATCTACATTTGAACTCATTTGGGCTTTATTTTAATAGATTTAGTGTCCTCAAATGTGTATTTTGTACCAATAACTGATGTAAATCCTTAATTTTCAGGTATTTGGTTTGAGGAACAAAGCATGGACACTAATGAGCAAAAAGGAACAAGGCAGCTAAAAGAACAAAGAAAAGAAGGCCTGATGATCCGCCTAACCCATTGGGCGAGTCACCGACTGGCCATGATCTCTCCAAAAGTTCCAGTGCGCCAAGCTCTGAAGGAGAAAATCAAGTCGGCGATAGAAAGAGCAGTCGGCATGTCGCTGAACAGTTCCGCGATGCAGTGTTAGATCGCCCAAAGTTACAGAACTCAAAGATACTGAAGGTCAAAGCAAAAAAGCGATGGAATTGACCAACGGGTGGATCGCCGAGTGGATTGGCGATCCAAACTTACTACACCGAATGGTCCTTCGCAGAATATTTTTGGCGACTATAAATACATTTTTGAATGTTTAGTTTAGTATCGATGTTTGAAGAAGTTTCATTATTGAATCAATTTTTCATATTTTTTTAGAGTTTTGAACTGAGAGTATTGAGACAATATTTTCCTTGCTTTGAAGATTTCTATTTTTGAGAAATTGGAAGTGAGTCTTGAATATTCTTCAACTTAGACCTCTGTAAAACAATATTAATTTTACCCAGTTGATGGAAAACACAATTTGGTACAATTTCTACCTTTTTATGATGTCTAGCTAAAACCCCAATTCTTGGGGTGTGATTATGGGTTAATTAACTGCTGGATATTGTTAATTGTTAGTGTAAATGATGTTTAGAAGTGATTTCATTCAATAATTGTGGTTGAAATTAATGGGTTGTAGTTGCAAATGCAATCCTAACTTCGTATTTTTGGCTTGCTCGAGAGAGATGTTTTAAAACCAAGGTTATTGAAATGATGATCTGTGTGTATTGGGTTGTTATGGGTTCAGCTCGAGAGAGTGAATCATAAACCTCTTCCACACATTCAGCTCAAGAGAGTGAATGGACTAAAGCGTAGGTTGTTCTTAATTGATTGCTTGTTGGTGTTCGAGAGATACCAACTTGATTCGGGATAGATTGTTCGAGATAAAGTTTATCCCCATTAAAGACTAGCTTATTCACTAATTTACAACTATTTACTATCAATTGCAATTACCCAGTTGTCTAAATTAGTCCATAATCGAATCACATCCAAGAACCCGTCTCGATATTGTTATTTTCATGCTATTTGTTGTTGTTGATAATTACAATGAAACCCCCCTAATATTTGACAACTGTGTCACCCTTAATTTGAGATATGTTTTTATTCATAAATTTCTATTCCTATAGTTGACTTGAGCATATTCGCACTTGTCTATTGATTCTCAAACACAAACCACTCCCTATGGGATTCGACCCACCTCACTTAGTTGGGTTATACTACTGACTAACGATTGTTGGCACTTAGTATTGGATGAAGTGTCCTGATACGTGAAATCAGTACTCAATAGACATCATGAGTCGACGGAGCTCAGAAAGATCAAATATACAAAGAAAAACACGATATTTCTAAAATTACAATGGATACATTCTAAGAAATGAAAGCCAATAATCAAGGGAATAGGAAATAACAACACAAGAAAGTGAATAGGGAAACACTCAAGTATTAAACAGTCACAACAGATACAACATGTCATCCCCCGAGCCTACACCCTAAACGTGGCCAACACTCGAGAACTATTGTTGGCCCCAACCGAACCCTTGGCCTGACTCAACTCTCAACGGAAGACGTACTCAACAATAAAAGAAATCTAAAAGTAAATTTTACTCAACTGTCTCAAAAGATAAACTCATAATATTTTAGAAATAAAGCATTCACTAGCTAAAGTGGCAATTCAAGTCTCAAACATCAATAACTTAGATAAAAAAGAATCATGAGCTGCCATTACCTTGCCTATTCTTAGGGCACTCACTCATGAAGTGACCATTCTGACCATACTTGAAACAACCTGTGGAGCCATCCCGACACGTTCCTGAGTAGTTCCTACCATACTTGCACATGCAGGAGTCCCATTACCTCCTTGTGCCACACTACCTTGAGACTAAGCAAGTGTCTAGCTCTAAAGTTCTGCGAATTCTGATTCTTGAACTCACATATGTTCTTTGGTGCTGGTGCACTAGCAGATGATAGAGTAGGTTCATTTGGCTTGTGTTGAAAAGAAGACCGGTTTGCATTACTCTTTTGCTGCCCGGACTCATTTCTTGTTGTCTTAGCCTTCTTGTTTCAGAACTCTTCTCTATCCCTCAACTTATCTTCCTCAACCTGTTGCACATGGATCATCAACCTTGCTATGTGTATGTCCCCTATCAACATAATTGTCTTGCCTTCCTTACTTGACAGACGAGACAACCCAAATACAAATAACCTCATCATACTCCTCATATCAGAAACCATATTCAGATCATAATGGGACAGTTTGGTGCACTTGAAGTTGTACCCATGCACACTCATAGATTCGTACTTAAGAGTGAGGAATTATCTTGCCTTGGCTCTCTCAGTTTGAGGGGAAAGAAACGCCCCAAGAAGTCTTTCTCGAACAAAGCCCAGCTTAGAATTGGTGCATCCTCAGCTCTACTCTTCTTCCATTGGTCATACCATACTTTAGCAACACCCTTCAGTTGGTATGCAGCTAGTTCCACTCGTTCAGCATCAGCAACATAACCACAAAAACTTTCTGCAACTCTTCCACAAAGTTTTTCGGATCCTCAGTGGCCCTTGAACTACTGAAGTCTGGAGGATTCATCCTTAAGAGCTCACAGATCCTGGATGTATCAACCACATCCTGTCGATCCCTTCTCTGCTGACCAGCTTGGTTGGCCACCACTTGACATAACATTTGGATAGCATCTCGGAACTCAGCATTAGTGACCTCTCATTAGGGTTACACTTCTAGTGTATTGGGTACCCCTTGATCCTGAGGATCAACATTCTTCTTAGAAGGATGACCTGGGACAACTATTCGTGGAGGCATGATCTGAAAGATACGCGCAAGCACGAATTAGAAAGAAACTTTATAGAGTTGAACTCCATTGCACGAAAATAGTATGAAAGATGTGAAATAGTTCCTAAATGTTGCAGTCTCCTAATTATAGATGTGGCACACTTCACACTGATAACTAGGACTCTACAGACACGACTTCATAGACACACTAGGACTCTTGAACTCTATGCTCTGAAACCAAGTTTGTCACTCCCCGAGCCTACACCCTTGACATTTTCGACATTTGAGAACCATTGTTGGCCCCAAGAGAACCCTTGGCCTAGCTTAACTCTCAATGAAAGACTTACTTAACAATAAAAGAACTTTAAAAGTAAACTTTACTCAACTGTCTCAAAAGATAAACTCAGAATATTTTAGAAATAAAAAATTCACTAGCCAAAGCGGCAACTCAAGTCTCAAACATCAATAACTGAATTAAAAAAAGACTCATGAGCTAGTACTGACTATCTATCTATGAAGCCTCTAGTACTATCAGGGATGTCGGGACAAGACCCCCGATCATCCTAACAAACTAAAATACTGGAAAATAAAGAAGGGATTCTCCGAAAATAAGGAGACTCACCAAACAAATCTGGAACTCGACTGGATCAACGAAGCGCTGGTTGATGATCCTGGTTACCTGTATCTGCATCATGAAAGATGCAGGCCAAATGGCGTCAGTACATGGAATGTACGAGCATGCAAGGGGAAATCTAAAACACAACATAAGCTTGAACATGAACTAAAAAAAAAAACTTACCTCGTCTCCACTCAACTGAACCTCAACTCAATCTCATGTCATTTTAATATAGAAGCAATATCAATAATGCAATATAAAGAAACGCTTTTAAAACAATAGATAGCAACTCAATGTATTGGAAAATACAATATAACTCAGTTTGTATGTAAAAATACAAAATAAACTATGTTTGGGAGATTCTCTAATCGACAACCATCACTATGAGGTATGTGATGATACTGCTGTGAGAATTGTCCTATACTTTGCCGGGGTATAGGACTGCTCACTAAGTGGATCCATAAGCTATGCTTAAAAAGCAATAA